CACTGTAAGTCTCCACCCATTGCGCTAATATCATTCATCTTAGATTCTATGAGGATCTCCATCACTTTCTTTATGCACACACATATGATGTATATATTTGTGGACTCTCAAAACCTTTTTTTTTTTTGTTAACAAAGAGAATTGTAGGCCGAAATCAAATTAATTCTCCAAGACATTTGTAATGAATTTTTTTTTTTGGATAAAATGTGAATTTTATTTACCAAAAACTGGAAAATTTTCATACAAGTTGTTCGGCGGAGTAGAATGTTTCAAAAAGGCCCAAAAAAAGAGAGTAATAAAACCTAGTTGAGAACAAGAGGAAGAGAGATCCAAAGCAGTGAGCTAACTACTCATGTGTGAACCATTGCGTGAGAAGATTCCGAAAAGATTCCTGGTGAATCCTAGCCATAATGGAGTCTCTGATAGTACGGTCAACCTGCTTAAGGATAACCGTATGTGGAGTGAAGACATAGTTATGTAGTCTATTGTTCCTCTCCTTCCATATGTGAAAAATCAGAATTTGAGCCGAGAGTTGCTAGAGTGTGTTGCTCAAGGGACCAGAAGGTGTGGAGAGCCAAGTGATGAGTGAAGAACAGTCAATAAAGGATAGATTAGGCATGCCAAGTTGGGAAAGAAGCTTACTCCATAGTTGTGAACTGTATTCGCAGTGTAGGAGCAGGTGATCTCTTGTTTCAGGCTCTCTGCTCCAGGTACAACAATCAATTTGAATGTTCATTCCCCATGAGGCCAATCGAGTTATGACAGGAAGTCGGTCCAAGTGTGAAACCCAAAAGTTAAACGCGTACATGGGAATACAACATTTATACCAAATAGCCCCTTCATACCAAATAGCCTTGGCCCTTTGCTTTATACTGCTAGTAGGTCGGAGTTGTCCATAAATGTGTTTTGTGGAGAAAGACGTTTCAGAGGTTCCATATTCATTACGTCTGGCACGTAATGAATTTTTTAGCTATTAGACCACCGCCATTTGGTTAAAATACAAACAATTTTTTAGTTTCAGATATGTTGGTTTTATATATTCTAATAAGATGTGTAAAATTGACTCTACTTTATTATGAATTATTATTTGATTTTATTTATTGAATTATTGATATCCGTATTTTTTTGTTTTCTTTAAACAAATCTCATGATATTGTTCTTATATAAAACAGTAGCAAGATACATCAAACAAGTTTTTTTTTTTTTTTGGATAAGCTTCATCACAATTTGCATGAGACATACACTGGAAATTCTGATTCATTAATGACTCATCAAGTTATTTAGGTGGCTTTGATAAAAAGTTTAAAATTTGAATTATTTTAATCTTCATTTTAATCTACCCTTTAATCTATGTATTTGTGGTAAATTTTGGCTTAAATAGCATTGTAGTTTTCCATTATAAAATACACCAGAAACAACAAGTTTAATCGTAAGCAAGAGAAGAAAACAAAAGAGTTAGGGAGATAATTTGAGTGAAAGCCTATTTCGACAAAGCATAAAATGTGAGAATTTTGGATTATTAATACATGCTTTCGATAATTATTTTTCCCGACTTTGCAAATATTTTTATATTTTTATACATTCTACTCCTCATTACGATAACTGGCTATAAATAGCCCTTGAGTTTCTCATCGTAAAATTCACCATATGCAACACACTTAGTCATACGCTAGAGAAAAAACCAACAAAGTTAGGTGTATAATAAGGGTGAAAAGCTTACTTAGACAAAACACTGGATAGTGGATACCGATATATACTTGGCTATAAACAAAATAGATTTTTTTTTCTTTGGTTACCATTTATTTATTTATTATACATCGTTCAAGAGAGGTTATGCTTATGTTAACGTACGGGCAAAAATGAATATCTATGAAAATCTAGTCAAATTTTCGTTGTAAACTACATATATATTAGGGTATTTCTGTGTATATTTTTTTGTTCTTTACTTATAGGTAACTAGCGGCTCGAGCAAGATTTTTCATCTTCTTTTGATTAGT